GTAGGGTTTCCAAGGCTGTCATCTTTATGGAAACCGACTGTCTCATCTTTCCTCTGCAGAGCAGCTAGTGGGTTCGAACTGTCGACCTTTTAGTTAACAGTCCAGCACTTAAAACATTGCACCACCAGACCTCCTCCCTTTGCCATGTAACTCGGCCTACGCACAGGCCCCAAGGATGACATGTTGGGAACTATTCTGCTACCACAGTGGGCACCCAGTGTGAATGTGGGTGGAAAGCCACGGGGATACCCAGGGACCTGCTGTTGACCAGATGGCCATTGGAGAAGGGGTGTCTCTAGACCTCACAGCGAGGCCTACCCAGCAAGCCGTCAAGGCAGACAGCCCCAGGGCTTCTAGTTTCCATGGCAGGAGCCAGAGCCCAGCCACAGGGCAGGGAAGCAGGACCCATGGCCGTGTGGACCGTCACCCCCACGGCTGCCTCCATCAGGCCAGCACCAGCTCTCTGGTTTAGGCTGGAAGCCTCCCACACTGGCTGGAGCTACGAGCCACACCGCCCACCCCGTCTTCTCAGACAGCACAGCTGCTTCATCTACCAGCAGTACCAGGTGATGCAGGCGTCCCGGCTTCTGCTGCGTAGCCCGGGTTTGGGGAAGGCCCTTTGAGGGGGATGGGGTGAAGACACCCACTAAAACCCCACTGTGTTTGGCTGTTGACCTGTGTGTGCCTGGAGGAGGGCTCGGCCCTGGCAGCTGGGGGCCCAGTGTGTGGGGTACAGCCAGCAGAATGGGAGGTGTTAGGGCCGTGGGTGGTGTAGGGCGGTGGGGGATTATCAGAGGACCAGAGGCCAGGTCCGGAGAAGACGGGAATGTTATAGAAACAGCAGTAGCACGGGACTGAGGTCCGGCCCAGATAAGGCTGGACGTCCCACAGCGGAGGAAGGGCCATGGGGGTCACGGCAGGAGTCGTCAGGCCCAGTCCGCACAGGGTCAGACCTCTGAGCACCTGCTGAAACTGCCGGGATCAAGCAGCAGAGGGGGGGCCCAAAGGCGGAGCAAATGCTGCCACGGGCCTGGCTGGTCTCATCAGAACGAAAGAAGCCCCCGAAGCCGATTTGTTCTGGGTCTTCACATCTCTGCTCCTCTCCGTGTCGCCAGTGACAGCCCTGAGGGGTCGGCCACGTTTCCAGAAGGCTCCCTCTGTGGCGGTGGGGCATGGGGCGGCCAAAGCCGACATCACTCTGAATTGAGACGTGGCAGTTTTTTCATACGATTTCACAATAAAACCTACATGTTCCAGGAACCCTTAGGCACGTACACAGGATCAAATGGACCAAGGCAACTCGCAAGGGACAGAGGATGCAGGGTGGGCAGGGAGTGGTGACCGTGGAGGAGGAACAGCTCAGGACGGGAGTGAGGATGGTCACAAGCCCGAAACGTGCACGGAGACAGGGTGGGGGTGTGTCCCGCGGGGCACGTAGCCAACAGGAAATCGTTTCTTCAAATGTTGGGGAAAAGGGGTGTATTTAAATGAGTGTGACAAAGAAGGGGGCTGTGCGCCAGAAATGAACCAAGTCCAAAGTGCCTGTGACAGGTTCTGGCACTTCCAGGGAGGGTGACTGAAGCCAACACGAGTCTGGAGGAAGACAGGCCTTGTCTAAGTTGCCTGGAAGTGGTTTAACACAATGGCCCTATCTACTGGAGACCCACATGTCACAGATTCTCAGTCTGGGTCACACTACAACAAGCTCACGTGCCTACCGATCAGCCTGATGAAAGTCTTTGCAGGAAGGGGTTACTTGCGCGCACCGATCACGAGGCCCTGGTTACCTGTGTGCACCGATCGCGAGGCCCTGGTTACCCACGTGCACTGATCGCGAGGCCCTGGTTACCCGCACGCACCGATCGCGAGGCCCTGGTTACCCACGTGCACCGATCGCGAGGGCCTGGTTAGAGACACCTCTGAGGACCAGCTGGGTCCCTGACACAGAAGCAGCAGTGACTGTGACACGAACCCTGCTCTTACTGTCCGGCTGCTCCCGCCCACGGAGGGGCTGGTGGGTCTGAGCTGCACCAGCCGGGTGAGTTGCAGGACACATAGCCATTTCCTACAGATCTCCAGGGATGTGGCCTCCTCAGGCTGACAGCCCTTCATGCCGTAGACTTGACATGCTCGCTAATTTCATGGGACATTCTGAGCTTTTGCATTTCTCATCTCAAAGTGGCAAACTGGAAAACGTGCTACTTAAGGAGTTCTTGAGTGGTCCTTGTGGTACAACAGTTAAGTGCTCAGCTACTAACAGAAAGGTTGGCCATGCAAACCCACCCAGAGGCTCTGCAGGAGGACCTGGTGACCCGTTCCTGTGAACGTGACAGCCTAGGAAACCCTCCGGGCACTTCCCCTCTCTCACAGGGAGTCGCTACGAGTCGGAATTCACAGCATGGAGCTCCTGCTCTGGGAAGGGTTTCTGCTTCTCTGATCTTCACTGCTCTCAATTCAGGAGGCCTGCTGGCAAGTGCTTAGACACTCTCCTGCTCAACAAACGTTGGTCCTTCGAACCCACCAGCTGCTCCATGGGAGAAAGATGTGGAGGTCTGTAAAGACTGGCATCCTGGAAGCTTATAGGGCAGTTTTCTTTTGTCCTCTAGGGGCCCTGTGACTCAGAATTGACTGCAGTGGGTGTGGTTTAGGCGTTCTTTCTGTAAAGAATACACCTTGGAAACCCTCTGGGGCAATTCTACCCCATCCTCTAGGGGCGCTGTGGGTCGGAATGGGCTCCACGGCAGTGGGTATGGTTTGGGCTTTGCTTCTGTGAAGACTGACAGCCTTGGAGACCCTGTGGGCAGTTCCACTCTGTCCTCTAGGGGCGCTGTGGGTCGGAATGGGCTCCACGGCAGTGGGTATGGTTTGGGCTTTGCTTCTGTGAAGACTGACAGCCTTGGAGACCCTGTGGGCAGTTCCACTCTGTCCTCTAGGGGCGCTGTGGGTCGGAATGGGCTCCACGGCAGTGGGTATGGTTTGGGCTTTGCTTCTGTGAAGACTGACAGCCTTGGAGACCCTGTGGTGCAGTTCCACTCTGTCCTCTAGGGGCGCTGTGGGTCGGAATGGACTCCACGGCACTGGGTGTGGTTTGGGCTTTGCTTCCATCGATATTCCAGCCTTGGAGACCCTGTGGGCTGTTCCACTCTGTCCTGGAGGGGTGCTGTGGGTCAGAATCAACCTGACAGCAGTGGGTACTACTTATTCCTGCACAGGGGGTTCCTCAAACCAACCTCCCAGGCATCCTGTTGTCAGACGGTGTTAACAATCACATCTGCTGAGGAAGATGGGAGCATGACAGTAGCTGGGAAGCGAGAGACAGAAGCAGGCACGGGCCTCACAGCATGGTGGTCTGGTGATCTGATAACAGACAGGCTGTCCTTACACTGTGCAACGCCCACCTCCTGAACACAAACACGTCCCCGCGTGCAGAGCTCGGAAACCCCAGGGGAGCTGACTTCAGTGCCTCCTCCTCCTTGGCTGCGGAAGAAGTGGCTGTTTTCCCGGGAAGGACCTCTGCCCTAGCTTACCTTAACCAAAGCTAATTCACTGTCTGCGCGTGGCTGTGGGGCTGGAAGCTATGTCCCCAGCAACTCAAATACCAGCAGGGTCACCCATGGGGCACTGGTTTCTGTGGAGCTTCCAGACGAAGACAGACCAGGAAGAAAGGCCTGGTGATCTACTCCTGAGAACTAGCCAATGACAACCGTACAGATCACAATGGACCGTCATTCAACGTAGACACGTCATCGGGAAAGACTGATCACCAGAAAGGGCTGTCGTGTTTGATAAAGTGGAGGACTGGTGGCCATGACAGGGGCTCAGACACACCCACACTCAGGAAGACGGGGAGACATGCTTTGTCCTGTTACACAAAAGATCACCATGAGTCAGGGCCGACTCAACAGCAAGTGACAGCGTCTGATGGTTTTTAACTTCCTTCTGGGTCGAAAAATAACCACAGCCGACTAATTTCTGAACATTGACAGCAGAGTGCAGTGAAAGGTTAATGGCACAAAGGCCAGACTCGAGGTGACACGTAGGCAAGCATTTTCTCCCTGCACTGGCCGGGCCCTGTCATTGAGTGAACTCTTTGGAAGGTGTGTGAACAAAGGAACACCCACACTTTGCTAAAACCTGGCTTCCACGGACTTAATGTTCTTGGAAAGAACAGCAGGATGGATTTGGAAAATGAACGTGACTTTGCCTCCATTTGCTGAGTGAAAAGTGAAGTTAGGGAAAGATAGGGGCTGCTCTATTGCCACAGCCCTGTCCACCGGTCTGTCCTAATGCAATCACTTGTGTGTCACCATGAGGCTGTGAGCTATGCCATCAGCGTCTCAAACACCAGCAGGGGCACCCCTGGGGGACAGGTTTCTGTGGAGCTTCCAGACTCAGACTGACTAGGAACCACCCCTGCAGAACTCACCCCGAGAATCAGCTAGTGGAACCTTCTGGGTCACGACACTGACGTGCTTGCTCTGGGGGGTCAGTCGCTAGCGGAGGATGTCGTGTCTGGTGAACCAGGGGGTGAAGGAGGCCCTCGGGGACATGGACCAACACCACAGCAAACAGCAGACTCAGACACGCCAGCCACTGTGAGGACGGGGCAGGACCAGCCCGCTGAAATGCTTTGCTTTGTTGCATGTAAGGTCGCCAGGACTTGGAGGGGCTCGAGACAGCTGACAGCTAATGCTTCCTGTCACTGCAGGCCTGTTGGGAGGACAGTCCCCGGCTTGGCCATTACCTATGATGGAGAGAAAGGCGGCGGCTCTGGCTGGCTCGCGGGTGCCGTCTCTCATTGCTGCCTCGCACACGTACATCCCGGTGTCGGCTGACGTCGGGTTGCTGATGGTGAGGTGTCTCCCAAAGCTGTGTAGCCCGCTGGTGACCTGGATGCCGTTTCTCCTCCAGGACACGCTGAGCTCTTCCACAGGTCTGCGGGGACAGAGGGCGGGAGGGACAGTCGCCGTGAGAAACCTAGGTGGCCATGACACCAAGGCCAGGCACTTCACAGCCAAGTACACCCCGAACACAGGAGGATGCACGAGGGACGGTCCGCAGTCAGCCCGACCCCGCTCTCCTCCCTCACAGTGGCACGCCTCAGCAGTACATTGTGCTCAAGGGCTGTTGAGCAGGGACAGCTAATTGAAGCAGCAATGGACCGTGAGCACTAACGGTTCCATTTGTTCAGGAAAAGGATACTTAAAATAAACACTAATGATGGGCCTTGGCCACACAGGAGGTGCGGCCCACGGACGGTGCAGAGAACTCCCAGGGCCGCAGGAAAGGGTCTCACACCGCTCCTCCTCAGCTAGGACCTCAGGGAGGCCCTCCCCTCCCCCAGCGCTTGGCTGAGAAGCACTGCACTGTTGGATGCTGGGCTCGGGACAAAGCCATCGTGTTCGGTTCCCTGTCATCCCAGGCAGGACATGCTCACAGCCCAGCTGGACCAACAAGGGCACCGCGGCTCACGGAGCAAAGCACGCGTGTGTGTACGTGGCCTGCCCACTGGACAGCGCCTCACCTCACTCGCCCTCTGTGAGCGTCCACCAAGGCCACTGTTGCTAGGACACTGAACAGGTTTCGGCGGACCTTCCAGACCGACAGGGGCCAGGGAGAAAGGCCTGTGGGCCTCCTCCTGACGACCAGCCGTGAGAGCCGGTGGGGCACGGCGGTCTGATGCGCATGCCCTCAGGGGACGGCAATGACCCGGCAGCGTTTCGTTCCACTGTGCACGGGCTCACCGTGAGGCGGGGCGGGCTGGACGCACGCTAACAACAGCAGTAGGCTGGCACTCGGGGACCCACCTGGCATTGGCTATGCATTCCAAGGTGACATCACTGGTTCCAGCCACCACGCTCCTGTTGCCCGGAGGGACCACTATAACAGGGCCTGTGGCTTCCGAAGCACTCACATCCCCTGGGGGAGAGAAAACACAGATGCTGTAGGAACCTCCTAAGTGGACACAGTGCAACATTACACGAGGTATGTAACGTTATATAACGTCACACACTCACGCACGGCTGGTCTCACCCATCACCTAATAGGAAGCCAAAGATCTCATGACCCTGCCCTCGGCCGTTGGGGAGCCCTCTGGTGTGGTCACTGTCACTGGCCTGTATCCACCTGGATGGACCGTGAGCCTAGTGTCATTGCCCAGCCGCAGTGGCTTCACCCACAGCCCTTAAGGGTGCATCCCCCGGAAAGCCCGTCATGGAGACCACCACACACCACTCCAAATGCTCTCAGCTAAGGGCTTCCAGCTGCTGGACAAGAGCACATCCTGGTTTTCTATTACCAGCGTTAACTAGAGGCTTTTCTTACTGGCTTATCTAGTACAACCGCTATTTTCAACCTGTTCAGGCCCACCACAGCTCCGTGAGCTCAGCACTCCACCAGGCGGACTTGCTACTAGAAAGCTGCCTGCCTTCTCCCTCGGCCCAGACGTGGTTCCCCACCCCGGGGAGGGCACCTTCACCCAAGTGTTCTGGCCCGTTCATGCACCTTACACCCCTGTTTCTTTTCTGAAAAGTGAACATCCTGAGCCCATCTCTGTTCTGTGAGTATCAAACCACAATTAGTTTAGCTCACACATCTGGTGACAAAGGAGAAAAAACGTGACACAGTTTTGCCACTTTTCTCTAAACTACATTTAACGTCAAAATTAAACTCCCCACAGTATGCTTTACTGCTGTTTATTTGGGAAAAGGGAAGACTGTCAAGCTTTTCTAAAACAAGAATTCCAACCAAGGGCGGGGATGCGGGCAAGGGGTGGAAATGCATCCCAGTGGCTGCAGACGCAAGACGCTTCCGGAACATGGTGCTGAGAGGAGAGGCGGTGTTGTGACAAAGAGCTGAGGAGAACACCGGCCAGGGCAGTTCTAGCTGCTGGGCTGGGACCGGGGTGAAGGCCACCCAGAGACAGCAGAGGGGACACAGGGAGTCCCTAGAGCCAATGCACAGACGCCTGACTACTGGCCGGGAGGTTGGCGGTTCAAACTCACTCAGAGGTGCCTCTGAAGACACGCCCAGCCAACGGCTTTTGAGAGGCCACCGCCTTGGAAGCCATCTACAGCAGCCCCACTCTGCCACATGGGGTCACTGTGGGTCAGAATCGACTCCGACACCGTCCCTGTTCCCTCTTCCGGCTGTGACTGCCCAAGCAAAGTGAGGCTTCTGTATTAAGGCCCACATGACGGATTGAAAAAGTCTGAGGAGGGCAGAGCCAACACACTCCATTAGAGAAAACCTGATGGAGGTCGGTCAGCTGGCCCTCACTACAGTGGGTGTCCTGCAGAAGCCGGGGGCGGCCGGTACGCCCCGCTCCCCACACTCTCTGCCTCTGCGGCTGGCTGCCCAGGCCCCTTGGGAAAGCCCGCTCCACCCCCTGGGGGTCTTCCTGCTGACATTGTGCAGGTTAGAGATGGGGAGTGACCACCAGACTCCGGCACAGACACGGCCTGTCCGATCAACAGCCTGCCTGTCACCTGAGGAAGTCACTGATGAGGAGAAATGACCCGAGAAGCTAATATTAGCAAAGAGTTCAGTGACGCGAAGCAGATCAGCAATGAATGCTCAAAGGTCACGGAGCAGGGGGCTAATTTGCAATTAATCGTGGCTCAGCCAAGAGAGGAAGCTTGTGCTCAGCGCCTGTCACTGTCGGGAGACTGTCACCCAGCGCTCCTCGCCCTCCTCCCGCGGCCAGGAAGCCTGTCCGTTGCACATCGACCCTGAGGACCCATGCGCTAAACAGGCTACTCCACGTCTGAGCGGCAGCGCACCTTAGAAATAACTGGAGCCCAACGCTCCACTCCCACCCTAATCCCAGCTGGCAACAGAGAGGGACTGTCAGTCCGCCTGTCAGTGTGACACACGATGGTGGCTCGCATGTGGCTGTGATACTGGCAGCTATGCCCGAATCCCACCAGGGTCACCTGTGGTGCACAGGTCCCAGCAGAGCTTCCGGACTCCGAGGGACCAGGGCCCGGAGACCTACTTCTGGTCAGCCATGAAGGCTCTATGGCACAGGTCTACTCTGACCCCCGGGGTCCCAGAGGTGGAGTCAACTCAGGGGCAGCTGGGTGCAGAAAGCGACTCAGGGTAAGATGCGGTGGGTCTTACAGAGAAGGCCCGTAGGACATACAGGGCCCCTGAGAAGGTAAACGTGACATATGGAACTACGTGGCGAGACCAAAGCCAGGTACACACATCTCTGAGAGCAGAGCCCATGCATTTCATATTGAATTGGCTGTAAAAACGCATCAGTGCAACTTGACATAAACCAAAAAACACACTGTCATCAAGTGGATTCCGACCCACAGCGCCCCTAGAGGACAGAGTGGAACTGCCCCCAGGGTGTCCAAGGCTGTCAATCTTCACAGAAGCAAAGCCCAAACCACACCCACTGCCTGGAGTCCATTCCGACCCACAGCGCCCCTAGAGGACAGAGTGGAACTGCCCACAGGGTCTCCCAGGCTGTCAATCTTCACGGAAGCAAAGCCCAAACCACACCCACTGCCATGGAGTCCATTCTGACCCACAGCGCCCCTAGAGGACAGAGTGGAACTGCCCCATAGGGTCTCCAAGGCTGTCAGTCTTCACAGAAGCTGACTGCCTCATCTTTCTCCCACGGAGCAGCTGGTGGGTTTGAACCACCAACCCTGTGGTTAGCAGCCAAATGCCTTAATCACCGTGTCGCCAGAGCTTCTCAACTTGACATAGGTGACCAGACCTCAGATCTCCTGATGAGAAGGAGAGAGCTCACTTTGGCAGATAATGCTGGGTTATTAAAAATACTGCTTTTAAATTTCAATCCATTTCTTATGTGCACGTGTTAAAAAAGTAGTAAAGAAAGGGTTAAAAAGAACTGAAATGCACTAATTCCCCCTTCTCTGCTCAGAGGTAATCGCCTCTAAACCCTTAACCCTTTAGTATTTAACCCTTTATATCTTTAAATTACATGCACCTACTGCTTTGCCTTCATTTTAGGCAAAGAAGGATGTGTCATTAACCCCTGCAATACGCAGATGACACAAACTTGCTTGTAAAAGTGAAGAAGACTTGAAGCATTTACTGATGAAGATCAAAAACTACAGTCTTCAGTGTGGATTACACCTCAACATAAAGAAAACGAAAATCCTCACAACTAGACCAATAAGCAGGAGCTCTGGTAGCATAATGGCTAAAGCACTTGACTGCTAACCAGAAGGCTGGCGGTTCAAACCCCCCAGCCACTCCTCGGAAGGAAGGTTGGGCAATCCTACTTCCGTAGTGATACTGCCTCGGAAACCCAAAGAGGGGTCGCTATGAGTCGGGGCCGACTTGACGGCACATAACAACAACAACAACAGACCAATAAGCAGCATCATGATAAATGGAGAAAAGATTGAAGTTGTCAGGGACTTCATTTCACTTGGATCCACAGTCAACAACCACGGAAGCAGCAGTCAAGACACCAGACATCGCATTGCACTGGGCATATCTATCTCAGAAGACCTCTTTAAAGTGTTAAAAACAAGGATGCCTCTTGGAGGACTACGGCGTGCTTGGTCTAAGCCATGATGCTTTCAATTGCCTCATGTGCACGCGATAGCTGGACAATGAATGGGGAAGACTGAAGAACTGCCACGTTTGAATCGTGGTGTTGGTGAAGAATACGGAATACACCGTGGGCTGCTGGAAGAACAGCAATCTGTCTCAGGGGAAGTACAGCCAGGACGCTCCTCAGAAGCCAGGAGGGCAAACTCAGTCTCATTTATTTTGGACACATTCTCAGGAGGGACTGATCCTTAGAGAAGGACATGCTGCTTGGAAAGGAGAGTTCAGTGAAAAAGAGGAAGACCTCCACCAGATGGACTAAGTGCGTGCTTAGCAATGGGCTCAAACACACCCACTGCTGTGGGGATGGCACAGACTGGCAA